CTGTAGGAGAGAAACCTGGGAATCTGCTCACGTAAAGACCACAGCCTAGGAAAGCCTCCGGGCGGTTCTGTTCTTTCACACGGGGTCGCTGTGAGTTGGAATCGACTCGAGAGCCTACGACCACACCACCACCACTTTGACGTCTTCCCAGAGGACGTCAGTCTTCATTCCAAAGTGCAGTCTGTTCTGAACGCCCCACACCTACCTGCTCCGGCCTGAACTTCCACTGGGCCACCAAAGGGGCTGTTCCTTTCGTTCTCCTGGTCGCTTCTAACAGAATCTTGCAAGGAAGTGGACTTCACCTCTGGGGAGCCAGCTGTTACCGTCTGCTTCTCTTCTGCTGTCCAGATGAGCGTGGAAGAAGCCAACAGGCCCTTCTCTTCAGCTGGGGGGTGCTTGCTGCACCTCAGGCCCCATCTGGAAGTGGATGAGGGGTCCCGGGCCGGCATGGGTCCCACAGCCTCCCCTCAGCACCCTGACTAGGTGACAGTTGACAGCGTTGGTCGTTGGGCTTTAGTGCCACACGTCTGTTCCCGTGTCATCCGTGGTCCAGGAGCAGACCCTTGCTGGGCCGTCGCCTGTGGTTGTCAGGAACAGACTGGCTGTGTCTGTCCTCCCCGTTCTCAGTGGGTTCACCATCCCGGGCTGGGAAGCACCACAGCCTCCCCACGCCGTTTGTTTGGGTGCAGATAGGCGCCGTGAGACGGCGCGGTCCATTTGTGTCAGTTTTCCGTGTGATCTCGCTTCCAGCCGGATCTTTATGTCCTAGTAGAACACAGTGAACACAGTGCCCTGGACCCCGCTGACGGGCTGAGCAGAGCTCCGAGGCACGGCAGAGACTAACCAGCCCGTCATCCGTAGCGAGTGTTGTGGATCCCATGACTTGAGCTGCGCACTTTGAAGACGTGTTTGTGCTCCAAGTGAACAAATGATGGAGGGCTCCATCGGGCGGAGGCTGGGAGCAGAACGTATTTAAGGGTGGAGACAGGGTGCGTGCCCGGGGCACCACTGGCCAGGGCCCACGGAACAGTTGCTATGAACTGTCCCAGTTCCCATCACCAGCTGCGGAGAACACGCAGTGAGTACAGCTAGCACTTCTGTGTCTGAGAGGCCGCCTGGATGAGCGTGGAGTGTGTTAGTTGTCATCCGTGAAATCAAGGAAGGGGTCGTTGTCATGTCCGTGGAGTGCCCGAGTGTGGGAAGTAAAACATGGACGTACTCGGCATGTGGTTTTGAGCTGACATGATGGTGAAGTGGTCTACAGGATGGGTGGCCGGTGTCTGACAGGGGCGCGATCCCAGTGCTGGCCGTGGGCACTGTATTCTGTGGATGCGTCTCTGTCCAGGACGGACAGCACGGAAGACCCTGGGCTCTGCCCCTGCCCTGTTGTGATTAAGTTACTTCAGCCAACTGATTACAGCACTGCCCTTTCGACTTTCTCTGTTTGCTGCACCCACGGTTCTTCGCCTTGTGTCGACTCGGCAGGCGAGCTGTTTCCCTACAGGCACTGCGAGATGGAGGAAGGACGGAAGATAAGTTTTACTGAGCAGTGGGTCTGCCGGGGTCCCGACAGCAAACAGACGGGATTCTCCAAGCACCATGATCAGGGAGGAGTTTCCCACAAAGGGAGTATTTACAGAGGTGTGGGGGATGGGGAGCCACAGAGCGATTTGCACCTGAGTCGGAGAGACGGGATCTCAGAGCCCAGAGGGAGTGGTTGGGTTGAGAGGCCCTCTGAGAAGGGCCCTGAGCACCGGATAAAGGACACGGATGAACTAAGGCACCTCATGGGGAGTGAGAACCCTGGCGTCACTCTCCAGAGACAGCCAGAGGGCAGGGGGTCCCAGGCAGTTCATGGAGGTCCCCGGGGCCTAGAGCAGGGTGGAGAAAGCAGGAGTGGAAACCCCCGCGCAGGGGTCCAGCCCAGGCTGGGCTTTGTGCTCCGTCTCTGATGTGCGTGACCCTGTTTCATACTCTAGCTGTCCATGGGGGTTTTGCATTACTGTCCCATGTTCACAGATAAGGCTCAGACAGAATCTATCGGCCGTCAGTGGAAGAGCCAGTGGGCAGCCCCTGCTCTACACGTTTGTCCACCACATACAGTTGTCCTCACAATGGACACCCTGTCCCCAAGGAAGCTGGATTTGGCATGGAGAGACCTTGATCCCTGGAGAGACCCTGGTTCATGCCCAGCAAATCAAGCTGCGCTGATGAGATGAGAGGCAGGCCATTCCATCCTGTTGACAGACACCCCTCATCTGTAAGGGCGGCCTGCTCAGAACCTGGTCACCAGGCCATGTGTGATGATCCCAGGAGGTTCTGGATGGCCCACGTGGAATGGGAGCTTGGGGTGTACTTAAGGGGCAAGGAGGCCATACCTTCTGACCTCCTCTAACCCCACAAGAGGAAGACAGGATCACCATCAGTAGCCCAAGGCCTATTCCTGCAAGGCCAGACATGCTGCCTCCCTCCAGCCCTTTCACCAGCTGTTCCTCCCAAAGCATCCACCACCTCTCTCCTGGGTTCAATAATTCACTGCAGTGGCCACGCAGAACTCACAGATTACGGGGTTTATTAGGGAAGCACCAGGCTACAATTCAAGTTCAGGAAGAACACTCAGTCTCTCTCCCAGCCCACCGTCTCTCAGCCACGTCTCTTTCCCAGCAGCGCATGTCTCTTTCAGCAGCACGTCTTCCTCAACCAGCCTTCAGCGAGACCTCTGCCTCTAGGAGGCCTCCTTTTGAGGCTGGCAGAGTGGCCAAACCAACCAATCATAACATCAGAACTCTAAGCACCTGAGAGAGAGGGAGCTTCCCAGAACACCATTTTGTGCCACTCCCAACAGAAATACCCCAGGTGGATAGCTTTAATGATCAGGAGCTACTCAGTTGCTCAGAGCAAATTCCACCACAGAGTTTACAAAGACTTACGGCTAGAAAAGCCATACCAGGTAATTTACTGCGCCACAGGGAGGTTTTTCCATGGCTAATTGGGGAGTCACACATTATAGTTTTCTTTTAAGGAAACATAAAGGTGACCCTTGTCCACCTAGTACGTAGATCACACACACCACTGGAAATGGAAAGCCAGGGGTACCGGCCTGGCTGGCTGGCTGGTTGTGTGGACTGTGTTCCCATGAAGCCATTCTTGGAAGCAACCATATTTGAAATAAAGATTCAACCTTCATCAACTGGCCTCATGCCTCCGAGGAGCTACCTTTTAGTTCAGGCACAGGTGAGCACACCTGCCCTGGTGATGGGTGTCCCTCCTGTGTGTGTCAACAGGTGGCTTCACTAGGAGAGGCCCGTGGCTACTTCTGGTGTCTGCAAGGAACGGGGGTTCGTTTCTGACGAACGCAGTGGCCCAGGCTTGTGGAGGGTCCTGGTGAAGGCCATTCAGAGCAGAGGTTGTATGTAATGTGTGAGCAAGACCCGAGCACTGTCTGGACTCTGAGCGGGTGTGGAAGCACGGGAAAACCACGTGTCACCTTGTGACCGTGCCAGGGCTGTGAGAACAGGGCTTTAGGAGCGCTTCAGAGGAATGACAGAGAGATTTCATTCCCAAGAGAACCCCGTCCCCACTCTCTGGCCCCCTTCTCACTTCACTAATACTTGAAAATGCGGTCCAAGCCTCTGAGCAATTCTGATTGCGTGCTGGTGGAGGAGGCGAGACGGCCTGCCCCGTCTTGTTCATCCCGGGGCACCCTGCGCTGGAAGGATCAGACAGAAACGCGTGTTCAAAGTCTGCTTTCTTGCACTGCTGCGGTTCCGGGTCCCGGCAGAGCTTCTGCGGCCTCGCAGGCGGGAGCGCTGGGCTGGCACTGGCTCCGCACACCTGCCCGGAAGCTGAGAGGGGCGTACGCTCAACTGGCTGCAGCCTCGGCCCCTCCCGGTGCCACGGGCTGCCAAGGGGCACGCGCCACGGGCTGCCAAGCAGATGGCCCAGCTGCCTGCGCCATGCTAATTTCCTCTTTTATTAAAATGTTAATGACTATAGTTTTTATTTCTCGGTCGGCGGCATATGCCGCATTCCTGCTCTGGTGACACGTTTGCAGTCCACCAACCGTGGGAGTCCGAGATGGTTCCCGCTCACATATTGAATGTGGGGGTTAAGGGTATCTGGGCTCTGTTTGAGCCGCTGTGTGGGAGCTGAACAATATAATCACTTTACCTGGTGGTGTCTACACGGGGAGATGGAAGTGGGAACCCAAGGTGACACCTGGCTCCTGGCGACTGGCTGCACAGCCATGAGGGTCAGCGTCCACATCCCCTAAGTGGGGACAACAGCTGGACCGCCCGCAGCTGTCATGGTGAGCCAGGGAGGTGACTGATGGGAGCACATCTCTTTAACTATTTATTTTGTTGTTGTCGAGAACACACACCAATCCAGCCATGTCGACACATGCCAATCAGAGGCACGGGTGCCAGTCAGTGATGTGGGTGCCAGTCAATGGCCTGGGTGACATCCTCTGAGTAGTGTGGACATTCTCTCCCTCCTTGTCCACATGCCCCCCCCCATTCATATAAGCTCACTGTCCCTAAACTTCCCATCTAACCTTTTGAGTTGTTGTTGACCATTCGATCCTATAAGATCATTCTTAAAAGAGCATAAGGCAGACATGTTTACTTACATGTTAACAGTGGGGAAGGCATTTGGCTGCTAACAGAAGGTCAGCGGTTGAAACCCACCAGCTGCTCCCGGGAGGAAGATGGGGCAATCACTTCAGTAAATATTTACAGCCTTAGAAACCCAACAGGGGTCCCTATGAGTCAGAATCCACTCCATGGCAGTGGGTTTGCCTTCTTAGTTTGAGTTAAGCTAAACCATTGTTCGGTTTAAGAGGCCTTCAGGGGAGATTTTAAGGTTCAAGGACAGTCTCAGGGCAGTGGTTTCAGGGGTTTATTCATGGGGATTTCAAGTTCTGGACAACACGTCTGTGTCCACTTCTCACTCTGATACGTACTTACACGAGTTTGTATTTGCTCTGCTTGTTTTCTTAGACTCTCCGTGGAAGGTACACCTGTCGAATGTTGGCCCTGAAATGACAGGAGTCACTGTGAGAGGCCTGACGCCTGCTCGCACCTACCAGTTCCGGGTGTGCGCCGTGAACCAAGTGGGCAAGGGCCAGTACAGCACAGAGACGGGCAGGTACTGAGCGTGGAATCCCTGCGGCTCCCAAGCAGTGCGTCTGAGGGCCTCGGCTGAGGTGGAGGGAGGCGGTCGGACTGGTCAACTGCATAGTAACACAGACAACACCTGGGCAGAAATGTCCCAAAGATGGGACGCTCGGACGGAGGTGACCTGGCTGCGTTTCCTAACCGCTCCAAGGGAAGGTCTTAGTCCCCCGCGGTGTCTGGCTGTGCCTACGTGAATTGTCCCCGACAGCACAGCCCTGTGTACATGAAATTAAGAGTCGACACATTTCTCATACCCTTTGTGCGTCCTTCCTGCCGGCACCACTGTCTCTGCAAGCAGCCCCCAGCAGTGCTGAGGCAGAGCGGAATGCGTCCAGGGTTGGCGCCATGTGCCCTTCCACAGCGCCCTCCCCTCAGCCATCCCTGGAGAGCTGCCCCAGTCCGACCAGGAAGATGGCTTCATCGAATCCCCCTGGGCCCACCCTCGCCAACCTGAGCATCCCCGGGGTTGGAACTTCAGAGCATTCGAGACCCAAACAGCCTTTTTCTAAGAGTGGAAGGTGGACCTGTATCGAAAGCCAAAGCAAACGGTTTGGCAGGAGGCACCGCCAGTGGGCCCAGGGCCAGCTCTGTCAGGCTCCTCACCCTTGTAAACAGTGAAGGTGCTGTGGGCCGTTTACACACAATCCGCTCGCCTCCCTGTGGGCCTGGTTGCTGGCTTCACTGATTTTTCTGTCCGGTTGATGTCTGTGAGTCCTTCTTCAGAGGGATCAGCTGTGTGCTTGCTACCTTGTCGCCTGTTGGAGGAAGCAGGCTTGGGACTCGGCAGGTGTGGGGCCGTAGGGGAGTGCCTGCCGCTTCTGGCACTGACGTTGCGCTCCCCTTCCTATCTTTGATTTTCAGGTTGATGTTGCCCGAGGAGCCACCCAGTGCTCCCCCGAAAAATATAGTGGCCAGCGGGCGTACCAACCAGTCCATCATGGTGCAGTGGCAGCCACCCCCGGAATCTGAGCACAACGGGGCCCTGCGTGGGTACATCCTGAGGCAAGTAGCCGTGACACACCCCGTGGCGATGGTTGTCACAAAAGGCCAGGCATCTGTGTCACCGGGGATACAGACTCAAACGTGTCTAGGGATTGAGGGAATCGGGTCAGGTGAGGGCTCTAGGGAGCGTGGAGACTGTGGCAAACCGGAGTGCACGAGCCAACGTGGGCAGCCGCCCTGAGATGCTGCACACCCAACACGGCGTGCACCCACAGTAAACAGGCATCCGAGGTGACGTTTGGCAGAATGGGGGGTAGGGGCCTGGCTAGGGAGCAGGGTGGGCTCTTCACCGTGAGCTGGGTCACTCTGTACGTGTTTTCACGAGGGCGTGCGCAAACCTGCGCAAGTCAGAACCCATGGCAGGTGGAAGCTGTCAGAGGAGAGCTCAAACGTTTCCCTCCAAGAGCAGCGGTCGAAAGGGGCAGACTGCACCCTGCCGCAGGCGGACAACGTGGGAGACCCGTAAAAGGAGGGCAGCCCTAGACGCGGCTCCCCGGGGGTCCCTGTGTCGGTGCCAAGGCAGCCCGAGTCCAGGCTCCCCAGGTGTCACTGTATTGGAAATAGACCCAGTTGCCACTTGGTGGGCTCCGACTGAGGCGGCACCACCATCTGTCAGGTCAGGGCCCGGGCAGCCCCACCACGTGTCGGGTCAGGACTGGGCCCTGTTGGGTTCTCAGGGGCTGTTTTTTCAGAAGTGCACCCCCAGGCCTGTCTTCTGAGACCCCCCTGGGTGGATTTGAACTTGGAAACTTTTGGTTCGTGGCCCAGCACGTCAACTGTTTCCACCACCAGGGACTCCATCATCAGCTGTGCTGTTGTTGTGGGGGGCCATGGAGTCAATTCCAACTTCCAGCGCCCCAAGAGGACACAGGAGAGCTGCCCTGTGGGGTTCCCTGGGCAGTAATCTCTGCAGGGGTAGCTCACCAGGTCTTTTCTCCTCGTCGCCGCTGGTAAGTTTGAATGGCCGACCTTTTGGTTGGCAGCCGAGTGCTTAACCGCTACACCACCAGGGCTCCTTCTATTAAGTGCAGTAGTTTTCAATAAATAAGCATGTGATTTAGCTATAAGGTAGTTATTGTTCTGTGTTGATCAGTATTGCCAGCTAGCTCTTCTAGGGTTTCTAAGGGATCAAAAAATTCAGATTTTTACATGAAATCTCACCATTTTAGTTGTTAAAGTTGAATCCAACATATTCTGAAACACGGGGCAGACCAGATGCTCGTTGGCAGCCAGACGTGGCCCGAGGGGCTGGTTTGCTCAGAAGAGGCCTCACCGCTGTTGGGAAGACTGGACCAGAACCCGGCTGTGTCGGGGAGAGGACAGACCTCTGACAAAACTAATGCTAATGTTAAAACCCCACTGAATGTGATGTTGGTGACGTGTTGTTGAGAGAAGTGAAAGGAAAAAGGCACAGAACTGTCAAAGGGAAATTATGTCTGTTTCTGTAAAGATGACGCCTCAGAGACCCTGTGGGCAGTTCCCCTCTGTCCTCTAGGGGCGCTGTGGGTCAGAATGGACTCCACGGCAGTGGGTGTGGTTTGGGCTTTGCTTCTGTGAAGACTGACAGCCTGGGAGACCCTGTGGGCAGTTCCACTCTGTCCTCTAGGGGCGCTGTGGGTCGGAATGGACTCCACGGCAGTGGGTGTGGGATCTTTCTTGGTCATGGATTAAGTGCTCAGCTGCTGACCAGAGGGTCGATGGTTTGAACTCACCTAGCCCGAGAAAAGACCTGGCAAGCTGTCCCATCAAGATGAGGGCCCGGGAAACCCTAGGGGGCAGTTCAAGACATGGGGTCCCCGTGAGCTGCACTCGCCTGCATGGCCCCTGACAATGTCAGCAGCCACGTGCCCCTGGTGTCCTGGGGTCTTAGTCAGCTCCTGTCTGCCGTCACCACCCATGCCCTCCTGCTCTAGTTCTTCCTCTGACATCAGATCCTCATGTGCCCAGCGTGGCTTCCCCCAGGGCCCCCAGGGGGCTTCTGATGTGGCTCCTGGGGCCCCAGGAAGTCTGGAATCAGCACTCGAGCCCATCTGCCTCCTTCCCCAAACTCTCCTTCACTGTTTCAAAGAAGGGTGACATGGAGACTGAGAGTCCAGCCCATAGGCCCATGGCCTGTGGGCTGTGGTGCTCTGGTTCCTATAGAAGCTTTCAGAACAGTTCCCAGGACTGTCAGGCTCCTGACTCGCTCCCGTCCAGTAAACAGCCCCAGCTTCCTGCTGCCCCAAGCCTGAGGTTCTCCCTCAAAATGGCCTCTCGCTCCTCACCGCAGCCTCAGCCCCTGGCGTCTGCCCTGTTCTCACCAACGAACAGCACCATCTGTGTCCCCTTGGCAGCCCTCCCTCCATGCCAGCACCATTCGGCGGCCTCTGCCACTTTGTGATGCGTGGAGGGAAAGTCTCCTTGGGCAAAGGTGCCATGTCTGGACTGCAGGTCGGCCCACGGAGGCAGGGCACGGGCACAGGGTCCTCAAAGCATCTCTCCGATGGGACCAGGCCACGCTGTTCTGTTTTATGGGATTACGACCATTAAAAAGATTTCCTGGGATGGTGTCAGTCGAGCTGAGCTGGGAAAGAGAGCATCGCTATGGTAGGGGCTTAAACCAAGCCTTGAAATGAGGACGCACTACCCAGGGCCTGTGAATATCAAAGTCTCCAGGAATTAAAGGCCATGCCCAGATGACCGTGCTCAGAAACGTCTTTGAATTGGCCTGCGGTCTGCACATCAGAGCTGTGTTTGCAAGCCTGTGTCCTCCGGGGCCCAGCCCAGTGTCTGTTCCGCAGCCTGTGCCCGGGAAGTGCAAAATGAGAATAAATCACCCTTGTTTCTGCAGCCGGACGAAGTAGTTAGGATGCGTGCATGGTAATAAAATATTGATAATAATGGCCAGCGTGTTTCTTTGAGAGGAGTGTGGGGTTATGTCCTTTAAAAACATTCTCCTGATTATTTCCATGTGAAAAATCTTCTAGTTCGGGCTCAGATGATCTCCCAGGCAACAAATTCCACTAGTGAGAAGAAGGTGGATGCTGCTGCCATCACAACTGTGACCTCTTACACACCCTGCAAGCATCACAAGACAGCTGAGCCCCAGGGCTCCCCCAGACGGAGCATGGCCCCTGCCCAGATAAACTCTGCTCTGTGGTAAACAGAGGCCTGCGCAGAGGTACCCGCCCCTGCAGGCTTAGTGGCTAAGATGCAGTGTGCTTTCTTCATTGGGGTGTTAGTGGAAAAGCAGTGTTTTCCAAAACAAGGAATATTTAGGGGGTGCTGTGTGTTTTCACAAGGAGCTCTGGCAGTGTGGTGGTTAAAGCATGGGTCTGTTCTCCAAAAGGTCAGTGGTTCCAACCCACCAGCGGATCTGCAGGGGAAAATGAGGTGGTCTCCTTCCAAGGGGCGCTATGGGTCGGAATGGACTCCATGGCAGTGGGTGTGGTTTGGGCTTTGCTTCTATGAAGACTGACAGCCTTGGAGACCCTCTGGGCAGTTCCACTCTGTCCTCTAGGGGCGCTGTGGGTCGCAATAGACTCCAGGCAGTGGGTG